GTGAGAGCAGTTCGAGAGGGTGAGCGAACTCTCCTCACTCTCGACCTTACCATGGTATTTGGGGGCTATTCACAGTTATATAATATACCCTTGTGGGCCAGAGTAATTTCACATTGATTTTCAGGAGAACTAGACACCACCCGATTTTCACGTCACAACCCAAACAGTACAGCTCAATCCCGTTTAAGACGAGAGCCGAACACCACCCAGGCTTACATTTTATAAACCTAGCAGTACAGCTCAATCCCGCTTCACAGGAGAACCAGACACTGTATAGGCTTTAATGCTACAATCTAAATAGTACAGCTCAATCCTATGGTGCAACCACACAGGTAGTTACCAAGCCCTCTGGTGGACTGAAGTGTCTTGTATTAGGACAAAACATCTATCTAGTGCTTTGAAGTTTCCAATAATTGTTTAACTATTTTTTTAAAAATAGTTTATGTGTAATTTTAAATTCTAATGTTGTTGTTGTTGTTTTATTTATACCATAAAACTAGCCATTGATTGCAGCCGGTTTTCATGATCGAACACTGGTTCTTTTAAATGTTCAAAATAAATCTATAAACAAAGAAGTATAAAATCTATTGAAGACTATTTTATCACACACACACACATATATATACACATTTTGTACATGATTCATTCTTCTCTTCATTTATTCTTTGCGAACTCTTCGATTATGATCAATGATTGTCTAGTTGTATGTTTTATTTATTACATAATAAATAAGAATAAATTTTAATTAATTAATGTTTCAATTCAATAAAAATGAAAAAATATCATATATAACCATGTTTATTTTATTTATCATTTTGGTGAATATCCCTGTGATCATGAAAATAGTTTTATCGTTTCTCATCTTAATGAATAGATTACATAAATGAATGAATGAATGAATAGTCTTCATTGTTTAGGAATCTATACACACACACACACACACACACACGTACATACATACATGGAGATAAGCTAATTGTTTCCATATTGTCTATAATTATTTTAATTTATAATTTCTTTGTTTATTCTCATCTATTCTACAATTGTTTATATTATTGAAAGAAGAAGAAGAAGAAGAAAAGCAAAAATGATATAACAAGTTAAATTTTTGTTCTATTTCAATGTTCATTATGTATGTGTAATCTATGTAATGAACAAAATACTTTCTTGATAATAATAATGATGCTCTTTTGGTAATGATGATGATGATGATGTTACAGTTAAAGTTTTCATTTATTTACATAATAAAATTGTCATTATTATTATTATCTTTTTTTTATTGGAGATTTTAATTAAACATTTAAATGTTCAATATAATTCAAACATTTTTATATTCATTCATTCATTCATTCATTCAGTACAATTGTAAATAGATATTGTTATAGTTGTGAAGTTTGTTTTTTTTCTTCTTTATAGAAAAGAAACTTCCTTTTTTGTTGTTGTTGTTGTTGTAAAGATAAATTGAATTCATATTTGAAAATGGTTTTTCGATTAATGATTGAATTATCTCTGTGTATATCAATTCGAGTGACATATTGTGTTACATCATATACTGTGTTCTGTTGTAATTTATTCTAATATCATGATGTTAAAAGTGTGTGTATGTATGTATGACATATGAACGTGTATAAACACAAGTGATCCTGACAACATTTCTATCTATTTGGGGTTGTTTCGTTTTAAAACTATTCTGTTCATATACAATGAGAAAAGAAGTCATATTGATCAAATGGTACTTTTTATGCTAAACGATTTTTATTTGCATTAAGTCAACTTGCCAATACTTTAACTGAATATGAGATTTCCAACTCGATAAGTTTGTCTCGTTTAATTCGGTTTGGGGAACTGCATATACCTTGACATGCTACGTTCGACAGTAGATACTAACTTCACAAAAGATGAAGGAATCGATGCATTACAAAAACAGATTAATGTTATATGCCACAAACTGAACTTAAATCAGAATGACAGTCAGAAGTGGTCACAAAGTTCATCGAGAGATAGAAGCCGATTATGCTCTGAGAGACGCTCAGCTCCTACAATATGCTGGTACCATCAACCATTCGACGACAGAGCTCGAAAATATAAATCATCATGCAAATTTAAACGATCTCGTCGGCTGTCGGAAAAGGCTGCAACAACTAGCACAGCTCCTAGAAATAATCCTTTGTCCAAGACAGACTAACAGGAGATCGATTCTTAGTAGACACGGGAGCAGAGACAAGCATCGTGCCTCCAGTGAGCGACAAAAGAAGAAACATTAATACGACACTAACCCTTATAGCACCAAACAAATTCGATATAAAAACATGGCAGGCGACAACAAACCTTGAATTTTGGTAGTAGTACTTCGTTTTGCTGGGAATTCATTATCGTAGATGTATCCGTGCCTATAAGTGATATTGATTTCTTAAAGAATCTCGACTTGCTAGTAGATTCCCGACGAAACGGGCTGGTGAATAGAGACCATTCAGTTGTGGTAAAAGGAGTGACCACTGATCACGTATCTATGAACTTAGTAGTATGGAAAGACAAAAGAGTGATATAGGTAGTAGTACTACACAGATTTAGCGAGGGTATCATAAGATAATAGAGGTTTTAAGCATATTGTGCAGCACCATATTCTAACGAAATACCCGCCGACAAATGCAAGACCACGAAGGTTAGACCCGAAAATGTTAAAAATTGCTAAACGAGAACTCCAAAAATTGATGATCATAAGTTCATCTAACAGTCCCTGGTCATCTCCGTTGTATATGGTTCAGGCCATGTGGAGATTACAGAACCCTTAACAAACAAACTGGCAAATAGGTATCCGGCGCCGCACATCCATGACACTACTACTGATATGGAAGATTCCTCGACCTTTTCAAACATTGATCTTGTTCGGGCTTATTACATTTGCATGGCGCCAGAAGATATAACAAAAAGGGCGAATGCCCTTTGAACAACTAATGCATCTCAAACCTCCCAGCAATTCATTGATCAGGTTTGACAGAAGTATACGCATGTCGATGATATACCAGTAGCCAGCGCTACCGTAGAAAATCTACGACAGTTGTTTCTGAAACTTCAAGAACATGGCATCACTATCGACATGTAGAAGTGTGAGTTTGGAAGGGAATCATGGCAATCCTGGATCATATGATAAATTCTCAAGGTATAGTGCCAGTTCCAACAGAAGCTGCTGCTATTCAAAGTTATCCGTTGCCCGAACCACAAAGGGAATTACGACGATTGTTAGGACCAGTAAATTATTATGGAGAATATATTCCAAACTGCGCAATAATATTACAAAAATTAACGGACACTTTGCGAGGACATATCCGAAAATTTCATGTATCAATAGAAGCTATACAAGCATATAAGAAAGCTACGCAAGTGCTATATAAGACGAAGTTAGTACAGCGAAAGAGCCGTGATGAGAAACGCATAGAACATAGCAATGGGGGCCGTACTGCAGCAGTCGGTAAACGGCACATTGGAACCACTTTCGGAGAATTGTTATCGATTCACTTGGCAATAAAGCATTTCCGACATGATAGAGAGTACCATTTTCATAGGGTATATAGCATTGAATACCAAGCAGGATAACTATTCGCCGAGGGAAATTCGAATTTATTTCCCAATTTATGTCTAGCATACAATATATTGAAGGCAATAATAGCGAAGTGGCACATGCGTTGTCCAGAACAATGATAAACGCCCTCATCCAATCTGAAATCGTTTGTCACAAATTAGCATCATTGCGAAATATGGATGTTGAGCTATATAGACTAGGGTCTGACAACACAACCACCTTGGCAGTAAAAGAAATTCCGTTCGAAAAAGTAAGCATCACGTGTGCTACTTCAACAGGCCAACCATGACCATTTATTCCTAACCCACTAAGATAAAAAGTTCTTGAAGCTATGCATAAAATATCGCATCCTGGAATAAAAACCACAATCAAACTAATCAGCAAGTGTTTTGTACGGCCAAATTAAGATACATCGTTACATTAGTTTTGCAGTAGGTCTTTTCCGTCATCCTGATAGCAGGTTCAAGCATATACATATCGATTTTGTCGGATCGCTGACGATTTCACATGATTTAGGTTATATTTTCATGTGCATTGATAAATTCGCGTGATGGCCTATAGCAGTGCCCAAGAAAGTTCAGCTGAAACAATAATCCAGTAACGACAAAATATGGTCACAACGACACATAGTTATTATTCATATAAACCTCTAAAAGCATTTAATGTAATCTATTGATCTTCTGTTATTATCTTATTTGGCCTCACCGCTATAAACGAACTGAAGCTTACACGTATTTGTAATAACTTACATAATAGTTATTATCAAACCTCTTAATTTCGTAAATTTCCAATGATGAATCTCACTTGATATTAAACTGGAATAGACTACCTAGAACAGAGTACGATGGAAAATTCTGATGGACAACCCTATGCTCCTCCATGAGGAGTAACAGATATATGTATGTATGTGTGTAAGTAAGTAAGTGCCCCCAAATGCCCTGGTACGGCCGAGAGTGGGGAGAGTCCGCTCTCCCTCTCGAAATACTCTCACACGGCCACGCGTATATAGCCTCTGCCAGGGAAGTCCTACTCACTGCCTTCTCGTGGCGGGGGTGTTGTTTACGAAAATGAGAGGACGAAAAGCGAATGTCCGGCGCTTTAACCGGATTCCAAACCAATGGTGCACATGGGTTCCAGTATCCTGCGGGAACAAATGGCGTATGAACCAATTGTTGGTCACCGGCTTTCATGGGACTGCGTCTCCTTACGATGCTCCACTGCCTTGTGGATCAGACCTTTGGGTCGAAGGCTCCGGGTGTGGCCCCCTAAGAAAACCACCTGCTTCGGTTTGGGCACCCGGGCAGTATCGCAGCCCTCACACATATCGGATGAGATTTGTGTGGCGCATATGTATTTGGTGCCTCTTTGTACCATTATCTATGTGTTGAAATAAATAAATAATAAATAAAAGTCAGTAAGTGAGTAAGTAAGTAAGTAAAGTATATATTATCAATGATTAATTACAAAAAAATGAATCAAGCACTTGATCAACAAATCAATGATAATCAGAAAATGTAACAGTAACATTAACAACAACAAATAGAAAAGAATAGGAAATATTATTGAACCATCCAATTCTTCATATGTACAACGATTCATGTAAATATGAAGTAAGAAACAATTTAGAATCAACATTAAACTCAAAATCAATTGACTAAATCAATAATGAGTAATTGAACTAATAAATGATCGGGATTATCATTTTGTCATTTAATGATCATTTCAAGATGAAATTTAAGAGGTAAGTATGAAATAATCATGATCTAAGATTTAAATAAAATTTGATGAATTTGTAAAATAGCTGCATTGAAACTAAGAAAATCTTAATTAATAGAGAGTAAAGAAAGATGAAAACATTGAAATATGGAAAACAAATTTGATTGTATCCTGAAAAATCATTTATCAATTTTAGTGAAATACACAACGATAAGAGAAAAAACATAATGTGAACCAATGAGTAGTAGTGAAGGGAGATGGATACAAAAACGACGACCATGACGACAACAACAACAACAATGAATTATTATTTTGTTGCCATCACTAATGATGTTAAATCCGTCGGAGATTTTAAATGAATATGACGTTGTCTTGTTAAAAATGATAAATTATTTTCTGTATTATAATCTAATAGAAAATTATTTAATTTATTTGTAGAAAAATGATGATTATTTTGTTTGAAATTTGATTCAATAAAATTTTTAGTTGATTTAATGACTAAATTATACCATGCAATTAATAGAATACGTTCGTCAGTTTCATAATGACGTCTCATTTGTTCATGATAAGTCTAGAATTATATAAAAAAAGAATATAATATAGAAATATAATAAAACATAAATAATTGAAATTGAAATAAAAAAAAGGAAGAGGAATCCATGAACAATTAATACAACAAATTAACATTATCAGAAGTAGTTTGTGGAGATTTTAGAAATTTTCACAGATTGAAATCATGAGTCAGTTGAAGCTAGACCACCATGTATAACCTGGAAGCACTGGACGGCCGTTTCGTCCTAGTATGGCACTCTTCAGCAGTGCGCATCCACGATCCCGCATCCCGCGGAATTCGAACCCAGGACCTACTGGCTTCGCACGCGAGCACTTAACCATTAGACCCCTGAGCCGGGATCCAACGGTGTTAATGTCTGACTTCAACGAATCCACGAAGTTGCGCCACCGTACACCATTGTCTTCAGTGAGCTGATATCTCACAACAGACCTGGTTGAACTCAACTGGTAACGGCTTCCCACTAGAACTCCAGGAGTATCTCTTGAAGTCAGTCACTAGTGAGCAGATGATTATTATCAGAAGTAGTTTGTGGAGATTTTAGAAATTTTCACAGGTCCTGGGTTCGAGCCCCGCGTGGTGCGGGATCGTGGATGCGCACTGCTGAGGAGTTCCATACTAGGACGAAACGGCCGTCCAGTGCTTCCAGGTTTTCAATCGTGGTCTAGCTTCAACTGACTCATGATTTAAATCTGTGAAAATTAACATTAATCAATTTCATTATCTATTTATTAATGAGAAGGTTTTTTTTTTAGAACTTTTCAGACACCTAAGAAATAATTGAAAGTGATTTATTTGATTAATATTCAATAGAAATTTCCCAGAAAAAAAAACTATAAGTTGTGTCATATTCAGTTTAAGCACATTTAAGGTCAGGATTTTCAATATAAATGTCAAGACAGTTCTACTGTATGGTGCGGAAACCTGGAGAACTACAAAAGCCATCATCCAGAAGATATAGGTGTTTATTAACAGTTGTCTAAGCAAAATACTTCAGATCCATTGGCCGGACACTATTAGCAACAATGTACTGTGGGAGAGAACAAACCAGATCCTAGCGGAGGAGGAAATCAGGAAGAAGCGCTGGAAGTGGATAGGACACACATTGAGGAAAGAACCCAACTGCGTCACAAGACAAGCCCTCATATGGAATCCTCAAGGCCAAAGGAAAAAAGGAAGACCAAAGAACACATTACGCCGAGAAATGGAAATAGACATGAAAAAGATGAACAAGAATTGGATGGAATTAGAAAAGGAGGCCCAGGACAGAGTGGGTTGGAGAATGCTGGTCGGCGGCCTATGCTCCATTGGGAGTAACAGGCGTAAGTAAGTACATCTAAACTATTAAGATCGATTATAAAACTGTAAGTATTCTTGTTTTCTATACTTAAAGTAACCTTAAGACTAAAGCTTTTTCTCCTATTTAAGGGTTTAGGTAGACGAAATTATGGAAAGATTAGGTTAAGTTCAAGTATCTGATATATAAATAGCTGAAGTAATGGTTTTCTTGGGGGGGCCACACACGGAGCTTTCCACCTAAAGGTCTAATCCACAAGACAATGGAGCATCGTAAGGAGATGCAGTCCCATGGTAGTCGGTGACCAACGATTAGTTCATACGCCATTTATTCCTTCAGGATCCTGGATTCCATGTGTACCATTGGTTTGGAATCAGGGTTTTCCGACTCCTCTACGTGGATTCTTCATGTCCACCAACCCTATTAAAGCGCCGAACATTCGCTTTTCGTCCTCTGAATTTCGTTAACAACACCCATGGTGTGAGAAAGCAGTGATTAGCACATAACCTGGCAAAGGCTGTGTATGCGTGTCCATGTGAGAGTATTTCGAGATGTAGAGCGGACTCTCCCCATTCGTATGGAAATTGATTTAAATCTAGCGAGAATAACAAATAAACTAGAGTAAAAATATTGACAAAATATCAATCACGCATATGTGTAGTTATCATTTTTTAGAACAGTAAACAATACTACTTACCTCTAATTTCTCAATAACACGTTCCTTTTCAACTAATAATCTACGTAAATAATTAATCTCTTCGTTCATTTTATCACTATTTATACTATTGTTCTTAATATCAGTACTATTAGTATTGTTTGTATCAATGATTATTTTCTCTTTATATTGTGGACAATTATGTTGATGTTGTCGATATTGACGTTCTAATAATCGAATCACTTCACGTGCTTTCCATAAATAACCTCGATATTTTTGTTCCATTTCAATGAAATCAGATTCTTTCTGAGTTAATTTTGTCATTAAATTTGTATATAACATTGTAGTGTTGGTAGATGGATTACACATATCTTTATCAACATGATTATGATAAGAATTTGTAGATGGTGTTTGTATAATATGTGTACTGGAAGAATTATTTTCATTGACAGTTAATGAATGGCAATCATTATCATTAGTATTTAGTTTGTTTTGTGATGTTAAGGACATATTAAAATGATGCACATCATTATCATCAACAAAACCAGTGTCATTGTCTAATATACCAGTTGTAATAGTAGTAGTATCGCCGCCAAATTCATTCATATTGTTATCACTACTCCCATCACTAACATACATTGATGTACGTAAACGACATAGTTCTTCTTGTAAATTTAACATTTGTGATTCCATTGCTGGTGTATCATCTAGCAAACAAGTAGCGGAAAATAGATTATAATGAATATCGTTAACAAAGATAAAAACACATATAAACCTTTCAGACAATATTGATTTGTACATAAACAAAGGAGAGAATAAGTGTACTAAAATCAATAAGTAACTAAACAGAAATAGTAGTTAGTTAAAAGTTTTAGTTCAGTCAGAAATGTAGCAAAAGAAAAACTAACTCAATATCATCATCATCATATGAATGTGTAATAAAAACAATACAATAAAAGAAACGGTGTCGATAGTTTCTGTTCTAAGCTATACTGTAATAAGTTAAGTTATGCAATAACCAAAAATGAACTCAAGTTAGGTACATGTGAACAATTAGATAATTATTGATGGATTTGAATGCTAAGATTTCGGTGCAAGGTCTGAAGATTATGGACTAGATGAATGGTAAGGTCATAGATGACCGTTGCTAAGAAGTACAATATTAGGATGGACACCGTTGATCGCAAGAAGGCCCTAAGAAGTTCGAAAAGAGTCGAAGACATTCCATTCAATCATATTTTCAAAGAACATTCCAGAATCTTGACGTATAGCTATCCGATTGGATAGATAATAAAAATTACTGAACATGGATTGGGTAACTATAATGATGATTTCGTTTTTACTGTAAGCTATAAATACCTAAGTAGTTATACCATACGTGACACTGTTTGGAATAAAATTTCTTGCCACTAGTCTTTTGTCTTCAAACTTGCGACTTACAGAGTTCTAGAGCTCAAGTTGGACGCAGTAACGTAGGATGAAACACCTATCCAGTGCTCAACAGTTGCCTGATATACATTGGTTCATGATTTCAATAGTTATATATTACTGAATAGCTCACAATGATGAACATAATTATTTTTCTCAGCGTCAAAAAACCAACACACTACCAAAATTAATGACACCTAACCCAATACGATGAAATAAATTAATGTACACCGTCCACAGTTGAGCGAAAACTTCAGTTCAAAACAATAATTTATGCAAACTGTAACTTTGCTCATCCACATGACTCAATAACGATAAGTTTAGTTCAATGCCACAGAATGAGTAAATGATTCATCTGATTCCAGGTTCAATAAACTATACCTCGTAGAAATACTTCTCTTTCAGATAGACCTTCAGCAAATATCCAACAGTAGCGGCCACTCTAACCTGATGATGAGGCTTGCTCATCGTGATGCGATTCAGTCCAGTATGTTGACTGAAACGTTGGCATCTTAAAGTCTGACTATGCCAAGCAGTTTAGTGAAAGGGTAGGACAACTACAGGTACGCAAGAGAAGTTGTACTAACAACAGCATAGAGATGTGACATAGTTGGGGTGTTAAACTAGAGCAACCACAATCTGGAGAGACGCTACCCCCTCATACCTCATCGTGTACCATTGATTTTCGCTGTCGATGGTGTGGTCTGTAAATTAAGGATCTAACGCATGAAAATGAACGGTAACTGATAAGGAGCATTCATGGACTGTTATGATGTATATATACATATATTCATATTGTATAACGATTAAGTAACTAGATTATATATATTTATATTACTTTTATCATAAGCTTTTATTTGACTTGTTGACTACCATCATACGATTTATTATTCATCAATTCATCCCAATCACAATTACAGTCACATTTAACTTGATATTGTATAATTGACATTTTTTATTTGTGATGTAATGTAATGTGGTCTGGTTTGCATGGATATAAGTCAAGTACGTGTGAAATATATGGTCTATATAGTGGAAGCTGATTTTGGTGTTATATATATGTTCCCTCGAGTTTATGACAATGGGTCCAAGTTGACAAGTTATATTTGTTTAAACAATATAAACGTTCTATCAAGGAGACATCAAATATATATTCTGGGTTACTACCCGAGAAAACAAACCGAAGAAGGTATTTCTCTTAGGAAGCCGTACCTCGAGTCCTTCGCCTAAAGATCTAATCAACAAGGCAGTGGTGATGCAAGTGATGCAGTCGCCCGGTAGCCAATGAACAGTAGATTTATACGTATTTTGTCTCCTCAGCATCCTGGAGAACGTGTGCATCATTGGTTTGAAATCAGTGTTTTTAACTCCTATACGTGGATTCTACATATCAACCAACCCGGACATTTGCTTTTTGTTCTATGCATTCTGTAAACAACACTCTCGCCACGAGAAGATAGTGAGCAGGAATTATCTGACATTGGCCATGTGAGAGCATTTTGAGAGGGACGGAGGACTATCCCCACTCCCGTTTGTGCATGGGTATTTAGGGCCCGGTTGGTAAGACCACTAATCTCAATTCAGTTTCGTTTTCAAGTCCTTGAAAACAGACATCGTTCAACGGTATGCGTTACTGGAAAGTGACGTCCGCCTCTATAACCCCTTAACAGTATTCGAGATCACAAGATCTTAAAATGTATGGAATAAATGCGAAATCCATTCACGAAGTACTCATCGACAAGTAGGATATTTTTTAATCCAAAAGTTAATTAGTAAGTCAATTCTACAGGACAAACTTACAATTTGATGCTTGTGCACATGATTGAAGACCTTCACAACAAGATTTAAGACGAGTAAGTTCAGAGAAGATACACTGAAAAATAACGGAGAAGGAAAAATGGAAAGATACTAAAGTATCAACATATTTGTTATGTAAGAATGAATATATTTCCCATTGATATATAAACACAACAAACAAAATAAATGTTTGCGACATAACCAGGCATTTTAAAATGAATATATACATGTACAGATCAAAGAAGTAATCTCATAGGCAAAACAAAAGATGCCATTCATTTATAATTTTGATGTCGTTTGTTGTATGAAATAGAGATGGTTGGACCATGTGTTGCGTATGCCTGAACACCGATTATCACGACGTGCAATGCTAACCGGTATTCGGGATGGTTGAAAGGAAGTTAGGGGCGGCCAAATCAAAACGTGGCATCAGTGCTTGAAGTCACTAACTTCTAGTCTGAATCTTCATCGACTGAGATGGTTGGGCCACGTGTTACGTATGCCTGAACACCGACCTCTAGTCTTAGTCATGTTGGTAGATGCAAACTACTTGGTTACGTCCGCGTGGCTGTCGTAACCAATGGTTGAAGACTCTTGGTGACATGACTCAGAATCGACCACATGACATGACTTTATCTGACTGCCCGTCATGGTCCCGATAAAGTGTTCAATTAATTTTATTATAGTACTGTCAAGGTTATAATATTTCTAGAATACTTAATATGCGGCCAGTAGTCGGATACAGAACTTTAGTTTCGTCCGACTCAGGGATCGCCAGAGAGATGTACTTTTTTCCCTCAATGGATGACGATCATATTGAGACTTAAAACTAGTATTTTTCGACTTAAATACCCAACGCATTATTCACTAAGATACTATGATCAGATAGACACTTACATATTCCGAAAGTAAAAAGGTATTTACAAAGATTTGCATTTTCCCGTTATTCAATTGATTTGTTTTGTTAATCAAAGGCCTTTAAATATGGATAATCAGTTTGAGAATTCCACATATAATGTAGACAAATGTAGCCTGAATAGCGAGACCTTTTAATCAGTCAGCTACAACGTAGGATCAGGCACATATATGCATCGGTTCAAGTTGCCATACCTCATTGACAAAACAAGATGAACACCGGATTCATAAAAGTAGTTAGTTCAGTGGTGGTAATATATAAAAGAAAGATTGCAATAAGGATATAGTACAGGAAGAAAGAATTAGTTTGTGGAAAGAAAGATATGAAGCGATTTTATTCTCTTAGTTTAAGGGAAGACAGAGAGTGTATACACCAACGAAATTGTGATCGATTATGAGCCATGTCACCAAGAGTCTTCAACCATTAGTTACAATAGTCACGCGGACCGCAACCAAGTAGTTTGCGTATACCAACATGACTAAGACTAGAAGTCGGTGTTCAGGCAGACGTAAAACGTGGCCCAACCATCTCAGTCGATGAAGATTCACAACCTCATCAACTGATTTACCACCATTCCTTAATACCCTGCGTCTAACCTCATTATTACTTATCCGGTGATCTCAACAGACGCCAACAATATTTCTAAGGCATCTGTGGTCAAATACTAGTAACTTACGATTATCTTCTACTCTTAAAGGCCATGTTTCGCTGCCGTAAATTAAAACAGAACGGACTGTCACGCAGCATACTCGTTCTTTTATATTGATCAATGTAAAGCAAGAAAATGAGTAAATGATATCATGGATGAACATTATCGAGGAGCTCATACTAGGAAGAAACAACAGTTCACAATCTTATATATACTGATAATAATAGAAGTACTTTGAGGATTGTGAAGAACTATTCAATAACATCAATAATGTATCAAATGCTTTATCAAATTGAAAAAGAAAACATAACCTCATACTAAAATAGAAACATACATACCTCTTTTTCACGATTTACATTAATTAATTCTTGTCGAATTTTTAATAAATTTTGTTCAGCTAATTCAGCACGTTTTATTGCTTCATTTGCTAAGAATTGTGCATCTTCTATTTGTAAACGTGCTTGAGCTTTTACTTTTGATCGTATATTCCCATCTAAACGTGTTTCTTGTTCTAATTCAGTTAAACGTTGTACACAAATTTGATTATCATTTTCTAATTGTGAACAACGTAAACGTAAACTAACTACTTCATCAGCATGTTTACGTAATTGTTCAATAGTTGTAGATAAACGTAATATATTAGATGCTTCTTCACGAGCAATATCTAATTCATCTTTTAAATGAATACTTTCTTCTGCTTTTGCCGTTAAAATGGTACACTATAGTGGTAGAAAGAGAAAGAGAGAGAAAAGATACAACAACAAGAAGATAGTTGAATAGAGCATCTATGTGCATGATTAACATTTCAATGCATTAATGTTCCGTTGTAATGTATTGATTTAAATCATTTATCAAGTGTTTGTGTAAATTGGTTTGCTAAAGTTGTTGAATTCTACAAATTAGAACATGGATTGATTATATCTAAATGATCATTGAAAACAAGGAATAATTGGATAGTTGTTTTAACTTAGTATAAAACTTCACAATGGTCGTAGGCATACATGACCTCAACCTAGTACATTCACGGTTAGAAGACTTCTTGATGTTTAATAACTGTCCTACAAATGATCCGTTCATATGACAGCTGACTTTCAGACATCCTATAATTGCATGTATATGTGTCCAGGTTTATTAATACGACTATTCGGTGAATAAACTGAAATATCTGGAACAATATTGAAACATGAATCATTTAAGCATTCAACTAATGTCTAACTCTATATAAAGCAAATTAATCAAGTATGTAATTACTATACTGGAAGTCTAATTGTTTGCGTTCGTTTAATAAGTGATAGAATCAAATTTTAACAATCGTATTAATTTTACAGCACAGTATTAATCCGATGGACAGATGTTTTAGATAGAAATGTTCAATCTCCATACTTTGACTCAAATTCAGTATCTTTCATTTGACAAACTATTGCGTTATCTACTGATCGACTGAGTCAAAATTACCGCTAAATTATTGTTGTAGTTGTTTTTTATTAAACATACATATTGTTATGAGTAGTCATGACAGTACTTAGGAAGATCATGGTAATTTGCATGAATGAAGGGGATATTATCAACTGTCAAATATATACGCCATAGAATGTACTTATAGATTAGTGGATCCAACAAATATACACGTGATACACCAGTTGTTGTTTTTTCTCTTTCGATGGTGGTCAAAAATCAATCGGTTCATAATCTCAATCAAAAACATAACAATCTCCACAACCACTATACTGATAATTAGCATGTGCTCACTAGTGACTAGCTTCGTGAGAAAATTCTCGGAGTTTTGATGGGAAGCCGTGACCAGTGGAGCTAATCCGTGTCGAGTAGAAACAGGTGTCTACCTCAGTACAATGGAAGATGGTCGCGCAATTTCGTGGATTGGTTGAGGTTAGAAATTAACACCATTGGATGCCGGCTCAGTGGTTCAGTAGGTTAAGCGTTCGCGCGCGAGACTGAAGGCCCTGGGTTTGAATCCCGCGGGCGGGATCGTGGGACCGCACTCTGAGGAGTCCCACGATAGGACGAAACGGCCGTCCAGTGCTTCCAGGTTTTCAATGGTGGTCTAACATCAATCGGTTCATGATCTTAATCAAAAACTTAACAATTTCCACAACCACTATACAGATAATTTTTCTCTTTCGGTTAGGAAACTTTTCAAAATAAAAGAATATTGTATCTTGTGTTACTCTAATTGGATAAATATCAAACTGTATACACACATACATAATAACTATTCGTTCCAATCAGTCAGTGTTATCAAGATATTCAACACTGATAACATGTGTTATCCATACAAACTCACATGCATATCTCTCTTTATCTTCTCGACACTTGATGATGGAATTTATATTCTACTATGAGGTTAGTTAAAAGAAGTCGACATGTTCATAATGCTAATAATTATCAACCTTAGATAAACATTTAATGCAGATCAGGAAACAGTAAAAGACTGTTTCATCCTGACAAAGAACTACTCAATGATAGTGAATATGAATATCATATGCACTAACTCACACAAAATTAGCAAGCGAAATCAATGATCTTTAATATAAATGGTATCAAGTGTATAACTCTTAGATTAATGCTGAGTTAGCGTGTCTATATAGTTTATACTTTTAAATTCAATAAAAAGTTGTACATTAATAACTATTATTTACCTACTTTTTGTTTTAATTCAAGATTTTGTGCAGTGACTTCGGTTAGTTGAATTTTTAATTCTTCTTTATCTAAATCATTATTTTGTATAATAGAGAGAAAAAAAGACGTAAAAATGAAGTAAAGAAAACAACCATTAAGTGACTATTAAGCCCAATGAATAGAATATGTGATAAAAATTATGAATATTTTATTATGGTTAAGCAGAGTTTCTTTAACTGGATGGTTTAATAATAAGCCGATCAATCCGATATACACCGAATCAGGCGTAGTGAACGAAAACCCAAAATGGGAAAATCAGTTTAACCCTTTTTATGTAGTTTTACTCAAAGTCAAAAAGTACGTTTGTAAAATATAAAAACCGTGCATCAAATACATCAATTGTATATCTTCCTCCTTCAGTTGTCCTTTACATATTTCATCATTCTTCTAATCCAGCTGTTATTCTGATTGCCTTCTTTTTTCTTTGCTCTTCACTTTATTTCAATCTTCTAATGATAATCATTTGATTTTAAATTCCTGTTACATACTACTGATGTTCGTATAAGTAGCACACACTATACTGATACAAGTGTGTATATCGATCCCAATTACCATAACCCGGATAAGTACAGTGATATGAAATTTCCAGATGACATAGCAGAGTAGTAGAGGTAGTTAACAGTATATCAATGACAATAGAAACGATTAGACATCGAAACTTTCAGTAAAAGATTGCGGATATTATTGAATTGGATTGAAATTATGAACCGATCTAAGTTGAACTGCCATTGAAGGCCTGAAAGCACTGAGTGACCTAGTATTTAACTCCTATGCGCTGCATACCCATGAACTTGTATGCGGGAATCGGACCCAGCACGCTCGGTCTTGAGTATTGGGTCGAGGACCACACAGTTGAGGGGTTTTATACTAGAACGAAACAGCCGTTCAGTACTTCCCAACCTTCCAATAGTGATCTGGGATAAATTGGTTCATGAGTTGAGTCGCATTTACTGATTTTTTAGATAATAACATCATTATCATCAGAAAATTAAATAAATATAAGCTGGTTAAATTTCATTACAATTGACTACAAGCATCTTGTTTTGTCAATACTAACTTCGATTGATTTTTACTATTTTCGATCACTGTCCTTTCATTGTTTACACATTTTATTTCGATTATCTTTTTTATTTGATCTGATTCTAAATTTTTTAGTTGTTAATGAAGATTTCACAAGTAAACTATAATGCTCAGAGAACACAACTCCACCAAAATCATCTATATGAGCTACAAACCATGCCCTCCATTTCAATGAATTATTCGTGTTATAAATTGGATTATGGTGTGCACTACTTATATGGACAGATATAAGTAGTACAAGGCAAAAATGGAAAATAAAATGCATATCAGTAGAAGATTGAAATGAACAGAAGAGGAACGAAAACAGAAAACAATCGAAATAACGACTGAATTGGAAGAAAAATGAGTATGCAAAGGGCAACTGAAGGAAGATATACAAATGATGTACATAATGCATGATTTTCATACTTTAAAAAATGGTAGTTTTTTACTTTGAGTAAGACCACATAAGAAGGAATTAATTGGGTGTCCTTTTCTGAATCTTCGTTCATTACAGTACAAGTAGAAGAGAACTTAGGTTGAACAACCTTTAAGAAACAGGATACACTATACAACTGTCATATCTTAATATGGCATTTATTAGAAGTGAGTGTTCACAATCTTCACAGAGACCTACAGGTTATATAGCGAGTACTTAAATACAATTTCCACAAATCATCATCCTAAAAATTCTCAAAAAAGATACCCGTAAGATAACAGTAGTTGACGGGTAAAACAAATTCCACAGGCGTATAAAATCTTCGCTGTTTTGACAGTATCATATGATTGGTTGAACTATTTGGAGGCAAATACAACGTAATGTGAGAAAAAAACTTGTCAATTGATACTGTCAAGTCCGAAAAAGTCATTTACCTAAGGTCTTCATTTCAGCTAAAAACAGAAAACAATATATGCTTTATCGCGAAATGACAGACGTAAATATTCAAAACACTGGATGCAAAACCGTGAGTTCCAAGGTTCAATACTTCCATCCGTCGAGGCCTGGAGTTTTAGGATTTAATCTCTAATGTTCTCGTAAAAATGAACACGTTGATTAGTTGCGAACTAAGATGTGTTATATCCGAGCGAAGATTAAATTACAGGTAACTCCCGAGGACTATTAGTGGACTAATGTTCTATAAATATTCTTATTGTAAAACTATTCAATCATTAGATTACGTATATTTATATCCCTCTTATTATAAGCTTTATTTTGATCTATAATTTATTATTGTACGATTTACGGTTCTTAAACTATGTTCAGTCTATTAATTACTGTCCCCCTCGTTCACAGCCACTTTTTGGCTTATTTGTGTACATATGTTATTTCCTAATTTATGGTGTGTTGTGGTTTGTCTGTTTGATATATAAACCGAGTATGTTTGAAATAAACGATCTGCTCTGATCCGCTCTGGTTCGAAGCTGGTATTTGTGTTCTGGACTCAAGTGGAAGGGCTCGTAGGACATAGGACCAATAAGGACGCTAGACTGCCCACACCGGTTGAACGTCATTGGTTGGCCTAGTGTGAAGATTCGTATAAGTCGTATCCGGATTGGTAGATAGGTCGCGTGATAGCAAAACCAGACATACCCAAGGTCATAACAGATGAAACAGCTTTCTAATGCATTATGGTTTTCAGTGGTTATATCCAACAAGAGACATACATTGATGAAGAAACTATGAGGTGCCACAATCACTACAATTTCCTACACACTAATCATTAATTACGATTACTCAAACTAGCCTCATGATGGATTTTCTGGAGTTCTAATGAGAATTCATGACCAGTGGAGTTCAGCCGTGTCTGTTGTGAAAACAATGGTGGACCGCTGCACAATATCGTGGATTGGTTGAAGTTAAACACTTACACCACTGGATACCGGCTCAGTGATCTAGAGGTTAAGTGTTCGAGAAAGAGACCGAAGGTTCCGCGGTTGAGTTACACATGTAGAATTGTTGGCGCGCACTACTGAAAAGTCCTATATTAGGATGAAACGGCCATCCAGTGTCTCAATAGTGATCTAACATTGATCCATTCATGATATCAATCGAACCTCAACTATCTGCACAACTCTATACTGATGATGAAATTAAATCGTTTTTATGAAACATAAACAACAAAATAACAGAGGGCGAGTGAAAGAGATAATGAATCAGAAAAGCAACAAAAAAATCTTACCACACTCAGTTCTATACAATTCATCACGTAATTTACTTAATTGATTTTGTAAATGATTTATACGTAAATTAGCTATGGTTGGACTCATTAGAACATTATTACTACAAGTAATTGCTGAAATGGAACTAGCAGATTGATTTAACAATTCTGTATTGATTGAATTCAAGTCACTTTCAATTGATTCAACTCCTGTTGTAGCTGTAACTACTGAAGGTGTTGGAGATGATTGAGAATTAATTGATGCTGTTGCCAATATCGCTGGATTTAAACCCAATGAATTGAAATACGTTTTAAAACGATTCAATTCAGATTGCTGATGTGACTTTTCGTCTTGTAAATTTAATACCTGACAATAATAATAATAATAATAATAATAATAATAATATAAAGATGGTAAGTTCATGAATGGAATAGTTGTCGACTTTATGGGCACCATATTCCTACGCCAACGCGTACACAAAGGCACATGGATCTCACACTACGCAGAACCAAATCGACCATATCTGCATCAATAAAAAGTTCACAATGACGATGGAGGACGTGTGAAACAAGGGAGGAGCCGGTATAGCATCGGATAATCACTTGTTGGTTGCCAAGATTAAATTGAAACTCAAGAAGCACTGGACAACGAAGCGGACCCCATAGGCGCTCAACTTCGAGACCAAAAGGCAGGATTCTGTAAGGATAGATCGTTTACAGACCAAATCGCAACTCTACGGATCATTGTGGAACAATCAATTGAATGGAATTCATCACTCTACATCAACTTCATTGACTACGAAAAAGCATTTGACAGCGTGGATAGAACAACACTATGGAAGCTTCTTCGACACTACGGCGTGACTCAGAAGATAGTCGATATTATACGGAATTCCTATGATGGATTAAAATGAAAAAAACAGTGCATTGGGGACAGTTTACAAACTCATTCGAAGTAAAGATCGGCGTCAACCAAGGCTACTTACTCCCATCCTTTCTCCTTCTCCTGCTGATCGACTGGATTATGAAGACGTCAACATCTGTGGGAAGCATGGGATACAGTGGACATCTAGGATGTAGCTGGACGATCTAGACTTCGCAGATCATCTGGCTCTTATATCGCACGAGCAATAACAAATGCAGAAGAAGACGACCAGTGTAGCAACAACCTCAGCAGCAACATACACAAAAGGAAAAGCAAGATCCTTCGATACAATACAACATGCACCAATCAAATCACACTTGACGGATCAGCTTTGGATGATGTAAAAACCTCTAAATATTTGGGCAGTATCATTGATGAACACGGTGGATCTGATGCGGATGTGAAGGTGCGGATCGTCAAACTAAGGGCAGCATATCTACAACTGAAGAGCATCTGGAGCTCAAAAATAATGTTTACCAACACCAAAGTCACAATTTTCAATACAAATGTTAAGAAAGTTCTACTGTATGGGACGAAAACTTGCAGAACTACGAAAGCAATCATCCAGAAGATATAAGTATTTATTAACGCTTTTCTACGCAAAATACTTCGAATTCGTTGGCCAGACACTATTAGCAACAACCTACTATGGGAGAGAACAAACCAGATTCCAGCGGAGGAAGAGGCGCTGGAAGTTGATAGGACACAGATTAAGGAAAGCACCTAACTAGGTCACAAGGCAAGCCGTCACTTGGAATCCCCAAGGTCGAAGGAGAAGAATAAGACCAAAGGACACATTAGGTCGAGAAATGGAGACAGACATGAGAAGAATGAACAACAACTGGATAGAACTAAAAAAGAAGGCCCATGGACAAAGTGGGTTGGAGAATGTTAATCAACAGCCTATGCTACATTGTGGGTAACAGGCGTAAGTAACTTATTGACTTTATCGCCGAGCCACCCTTTAATTCGATGCAAAGTGTTGTATGAAGTTGGAGTATATTGGAAAAATCATTTGAATAATCAAACTATGATATGGTATCAGTCCATGAAGACAATTACTAATGATTTGAGTCGTTTAGGTAAGTGTAAGCTAAAAGGTTAGAGTTTATGAGCTTGTTGTGATCAATGATTGGGGATGTTTGATAAAGTAGATCCAAATGGATCCCAATCGTACAGACACATTTCTATGATGTTTTCCCTTTAGATTTTTAGTTTCAAGATTATCACATATATTTTGTTGTACAAATGAATTCTTTCTTTACGAGTCACTTTGTCTAAACTGGATCCTTTTTACTACGACTGTTACTGATTCTAAAACTCTGGAGTCGATTTTTATAATTTCATCTTGGCGTAGTTGATATAATATAACAGAGCAGCGGAGCAACCTTAAGAGATGTAGTCATGTGGTAGCCAGTGACCAACAATAGGTTCATATGTCATTTGTTCCCTTCAGGGTCCTGGAGCCCATGTCCACTGCTGGTTTGAAATCAGAGTTATTCAACTCCTCTAGGTGGAACTTCCGTGTCCACTAACTGGGTTAAAGCGCTGGACATTAGCTTTTCGGTCTGTCAATTTCATAAAGAACACCCACACCACGAGAAGGCAGTGATCAGGACTTCCTTTACAGTGGATGTGTAACGTGTGAACATGTGAGAGCATTTCGAGAGGGTGATCTGATTCTCCCAACCTTCGGCCGTGCCAGGGTATTTGGGGGCAAGAATATCACATGTGAGTACTGTTAACGTGAGCGATTAAAAAAAGGATTATCTAACGCAAGTTGAGCTTTAGTAGTTCTCTATTAAAAGATATCAGTCAGTGGCAAGATACTAGATAATTCATAAACCACCAGAGACGTAAGAATAAACACTGACTTACTTCTTGCTGAAGATTTTTACACTGTTCAGCCAATTTCTCTTTTTCTATTAATAATGCTTTGCATTGTTCCACTGTCTTACATAACTACAATAGATTTGAAATATATATAACAGTAAATAATTTTGATTGATGATTGCTTTACGAATAATGCGACTTAATTAATCCAATAGAGTCAACTCTTAATATGTTCTTCCTTTATTGTGATTGATCACGTATTATAGTTTATCATCACTCTTTGGAGGTTCCTGGAAATTCAAAGCAACTAAGATAACTTACATTGTATGTAGAGATTGTCTTATGCAATATGACCATTTAACAAGTCAATAATACGCTCATTAGAGCATAACTTTGAAATCCCAGTGAAAATTCATAACTTAGGACCAACTACGTCGGAAATAAGAAATCTTGCACAGATGAAGCAGGGTGAGTTTAAAGTGATCCACCAGTGGCAAGACCCGGTCTTTGTGGGTTTGAACCCTGAAAAACTGGTCAGTAGGACTAGTTGAGAAGTCACAAACTAGGATGAAATAACTTTCCGGTGCTCACTAATTTTTAACGGTTCAAGAAATAAGAAACTCTGAGTAGTACTAGTAATCTTAAGATATAAGGAGTGCATCTCAGGAAGCCCAGAATAGTTGTTTGGTTTTTATGATTACTTAAGTTGTTTGTAACAACCGAATAAAGATGATTTTTACTGAAATACGACGTCAAACGCCGATAATCATAAGGTAATTTCATACCCTATGCATTCCTCCATACAACTCGAGTTGTCTAACGCAGTAACAACACCAACGTTTTTTTCTTCCACTGTTTATAATTGTTGTAGACTTCTTATCAGTCCACACATATAAGCTGCCTTCGCTCTTTTTCGTATTTAGAGCGAGACGGGATCAGTTTTTGGAAATTTTATCAGATCAGTGGGCACCGCTGAAATATATTGATTTTTCTTTATGTTTTAGATATCATACCAAACTACCTCAGGCTAAATAATACTTGAGTGATTGAATAACTTATTTCCTAGTTTTTTTTAAAAAATACACTTCACTTTTTCGAATCATTGCTCCGTCTTCCTTTTGTGGCTAATCGCTATCCCGTAAGACAGATAGTGGACGCGTCCTCAGAGCAGAATGGATTATGGAAGTAATTAATAATAAAGTGCAGCGCTGAATACGACGCCTGCTTAGTTCACCGAGTGATAACACTACTACTTTATATATATACATTACGAACAAATTAATTTTGTACTAGTGAATAAAATACTTAAACAGTGAAGTAACTACACACATTATATACCGACTAGCTGCGACTGGAGTCGTCTATAAGGCTATATTTAGTGACATTGATAATGGAACTTTCATGGCGTCACTGGAACAGCCTAAAAAAGCTTATGGAAAGTTAACGGACTAGTTGGCAAATTTCTTAAAACAATAATAATAATAATAATAATAATAATAATAATAATAGTAATAATAATAATAATAATAATAATAAATTAAGCATGAATAATGTATTTGTAAAGTCTTAGCGAATGAATTTGAAGTATATTCAAAGTTTCATTCAGTGATCTGGTTCAAGCGTTTTCAAGGGAATAAAATCACACATAAAAATTATCGAACAAAGACAGACACACGGTTCTTCCGTTAACTGTATACTAAATATGTCATCCAACCATGTTTGATTATATTTCTTCGAGAAAGAATGGACCAGATTGCTGAGCGAAATGCTGCGTTTACTTCAAATTCATTCTCTAAGATTTAAAGAAAATCATTCTTGCTTTGTAATGTCTTACATCAATTTGGTGCCTAAATGCTGTGAAACTATTCTTTTGAATTTGGACGAAGGTTCTTATAAGTAGTAATGCTAATTCGTTTTATTCAATACCAAGTACATTTGACTGTAAACTTGGGAATTGTGGATGGCCGTTTTGAACTAGTTTAGGATAAGAATGAAGAAGTTACCGACCAAAGGAAATGGGAGTTGGTCGTGTAATATCGTGGATTGATTGAAGTTAAACATTAAAACCATTGAATCCTGGCTGTAATCTAAACATTAGACGTTCGTGTTAGGCGTTGCTGAGGCGGATGAAATAGCTATTTAATGCTTCCAGACTTTCAATGCTTGTCTAACTTAGATCGGTTAGTGATACCAATAACATTCGACAGTCTCAACAACTATATACTGACAATAAATGAGCGTTTGAAAAAAAAATGGAGCAAGTTAGTTTGAAACCACATCTCGCTGAACTAAGCAGTAACTTTGAAGTTAAATATGCAATCGAATTTATACATTTAAAACCAAATATCACACACAATTTATGTGTCAAAAAGAAACAGACCATTGTTTCAACTTCAAAGATAGTGAATGTTGTCTTCCTTTCTAAGAACAAGCCTCATAATTAAGATTTTTTTAAAAAACATGTTCTTGCATAATTAAACTTAAGATTTCTATAAAAAGAAAGTACATATTTTACAATATAAAAATGTTTCATATCTTGTAGTGTATGGGTTTAAATTCTAATACTTAGTTTATCATCACGATTTGTAATTTTCCATTGTTTAAATTCAAAACTTTAATCGGACCAGTTCACTTATAACAACATAAACTAATCGATTGAAGCATTAAGCATCAACCACTACAGAATATAAACACCTTATTAAAAAGTATTCATTCTTATATGAATTAAGAGGTATAGTAGATAATGTATAAGTGTGTTTGAAATGAAAGGTGTTTAGTTCAAGTTTCAATATAAACATTAACACTAGGACCTAGATACAACCAATTAACTAGTTCTAAACAGGATGAAACACGCTACTAGCTAGTCATATAACAAACTTATCAATCTCTACATACATACATACCTACATATATGATAGCTAGTCAAATTTTTTAAAAATTTATATCCATAAAACATAAAAAGAAAAACACAATAAAAAAAAATAAGCATGGATACAACAAAATTTCCAACTAAGACTTACACGATCTTCATAATCCATAGTATCACTCATACTTAAACGAGTTGACATTAACTAAATAATGATAACAAAAAGAACACAAATAGGGAAAATGAAGAAATCAAATCAAAACCATCCCCTATTGAATTGATCTATTCATATAGAATGTTAATAATAGTAATATGTAATGGTAACAAAGATTATTGTGTAAACAACATATATTTATAATCAGGAGCATAATCGATGAAAAGTAATGATCAAATCAATAATAATAATAATCATACATAAGTATACTATACAGTAAACAATGAAACAACTTTCAGAATTGAACACCTTTCATCAGATGAAGAAAGAGAAGTAAACAATTTTAACTATTCAAAACAACTGACGATGATGATGATTGTAAAGTAAAGAATTTACAAATACCAATCAACGGTCTCTTCATCAGAGTTGTAATACATAAATACGTATATATATATTTGTGAGTGTGTGCGTGTGTGTGTCTGTATACTTCACAGAAACAAAGAGTACTCTAATTACTTTTCCTTTTCAAAGAAAAAATAAATTAAGGTCAGATCGATTGAGAGTGCAGAAACACACATATACAAAAAAATAGAACACAATAGAAAAGTAAACACAATATGTGGTACACGTGTGCACATACCTACTGATGTATACATATCACATGACGAGGAACACACAGATAATATATGCGGTAGACATGTACTAGAGACATGTATGTTGAAACACATAAGAACTGAAGTATAGACACACACACACGTGCCCATATATATGAAATAAGTAGTATATGACAAGATTTGAAACGAACTATAATTTAAAAAGGGCAATTTAATTAATTTTTATGAGAACAGAGTATACAAGAGAAAATGTATTGACCGGGAACTAATGTAACATGAAATAAGAATTTCATTCAAATGATCTTTACTTATTATTTCTAAGAAAAATCTTGATCCATTTCAAGAGAAGAAAGAAAATATGGCGGATTCGGTTCATAGAGTTGAGTATTTTCATAGACTGAAATGTTTCCAATATACATATAACTTATGTTTAAAAACCACCTACCTCTAAATGAGATATTTTCTAGCATAGGATTATGTTAACAGTAAACTGGATATGATCAAACAAGAATATGCCATCAGACCACGATAACATTGAGTCATGTTACTCGATATAAACTTTCTAGTTTGTATTCACATGATAACCGCGATCAATGGGGTTGAAGACTTTGGACTATTTTTTTCCATGAATATGATAATGTAGACAGTTGTTTGTGAAAACTCAGTCAGTCAGTCAGATACGATGTAGGACCACGTAAAATATATACATCGGTTCAAGTTGTCATACTACATTCTCATTCCCGACCGTTGTAGCTACCTTGACGTGGTGGTCCAGCCAGCCTATCGTGATGAACTGATCGAGCTATACTAGCTGGAACAACCGTTCCTCAAGGTCCTACCATGTCAGACAGGTCGGTTGAAGAGCGGTAAGAGTAAAAGCAACAAACCCAAGGTCCGAAGGCGCACTGCTGACTGTACAGAGGTGTGGCAGCAGTAAGGTGTTTCCTTCAAAAAACCAGCATGACAGCGATGCTGCCTTCCCACAAGGAGGGGTGGGGTTAGAAAAGGTCGACCCTAAAAATGCACACCTCGACTTATCCCACGGATATCCGTCTCCGGCGGTAAGGTCTCAAAAAGTACGGAGCCAACACAAAATTTACCCATAACAAGGTCGTGTGTGACCGACCTCAAGCAGTTGTCCCTTGGGCACTGCGGTCAAGCGTTTTGTGACGACGTTCTACGACACCTGTTTCCCACTTCCTATTACCCTCATACGATCTGACGAGTACCTTTTCACCCACCTGGAAGCTACGAGTGACCGTACGATATTCATTCGGAAGTTTATTTGTCTCTCTGGGCGGCAACATACTGTTAGGTAGATCCGAGAAAGAAGTCTTACTCAACGGACTTTAAAACGGGGAGGTGTGACGACGGACAACGGGTGAGCTCTAGGAGGCTGTAGGAAGCTCAGAAGGAGCCGGAGATATTCCATTCAACCACCTTTCAGAAGGATATTCTAGAATTCAACGTAAGGCCTCCTGATTGGTCAATGCTAATAATCCCATGAACGCGGATTGGTGGACTGTAATGATGATTTCGTTCTTACTAAAATCTATAAACACCTGACAATTTTGTACTATAATTGACACTGTTTGGAATAATATTCCTTTCGTTAGTCTTCTGTCTTCTTACTGCGACTTGGAAGGGTTTTGGTGTTCTAGTGCTCTGTTATACGCGGTATAACAAGAAATCAGTATTTAAGATATAACAAAAACATATTAAAAGAAAACTATCCTTCTTCAAATAATAGTCTTAGTGACCAATATACTAAAATTAAGCTTTCTATCGAACACAATCAACACATGTACACTCTATTACTTGATGGGAAACCAAAATAAGACGAAATAAAGTTCTTATATAATTTTTTTTCAAAACAATGAATAAGATTAATACACATACTTGTTGAATCGCTTCCATTATAGCTTGTTGCACAGTTTCTTCCATCCCCATAATTGTTTGAATATAAGTTTGTTTATTATCACAATTCACAGCGCATGCAAGTATTAATTGTAATAAACGAAATGTCGACTCTTCATTTTCATGTTCAGCTTGAGATAAAAGCACACAAAATTATATCATCATTATCAACAAGATTGTTGGAACACCAATGGAAAAATCGACTTAACCCACATCACACTACTAACTACATGAATCAGTAATATAATGATTCTCCAAGAGTAATATTCCTTTCAACTTCTGTGTCATCACGACGATACGTCTCAAATATTTTGCAGCAAACCGTTAACTACTTATGAGCACAATGATCAGGATAAAACATAATAAAATTGTTCTAGTCAGATAAATACATATTAGCGTTCCTCCACCCCACGGGTGAGGTTAAACCCATCACTTTTCAAAGTATATTTTTGCAAGACCAACACTTCTCAAGTTGATTTCCAAGTTTGCAAAATAAAATGAATTTACATTACTCTGCAAACCTTTTCGTTCTTGATCTGTTTACATTTATCATAGAATCTGGTTAAACGATTGTTAACTGAGTGTTTCATGCGGAGTTAACCAGACTAGTAACGAGTTACAGATCAGTTATGTAGCAAAACTTCAAACAAACAAAAATTGAAAATGCACTACGTAATATTAGATGACAGTCCATAGTATTCAATTGTTTTCACTCCATATGAGTATATATGTGAATATCCTTTACCGATACAAAGCTTTCCAAGATAGGGGTATATTGATTATTTATCCATAACGTCATTTCAATGTTGAGTGGAAATTTGCAGTTCATGTGAATTATTTTGGTGGTTTCGTTCTCTGAGCAATGTGGATGTAATTGTGGAATATTTTATTGTCCTTCTGAACAAAGTCATAGACAGTACGAATGTGATGACACTGTTATCTTATCTTCCCCACTAGTTCGTACATGAATATGCAGAAAGAGAAGTTGTCTCGAACTAGTTAACGGCTTATTGTGCTACGTTACTTGGTGTGTTGAAGACTGAATCGCGTAAGTTTGACTTGTGAATGGTCAGCCTTGAGAGGAGAGAGGAAAAAGCTACCGTATCACTGACAACTTGATGATTTATTAGCAAGCAAAAACTATAGCAGAATACTTTATCCGACTCATTCAACACGAAAATGTAGGACTAACGAGATCGCAACACACAATGAATACAATTATACTAACCGAGACTATTACAGTACGAAAATTTAATACAATGGTCACGTTTGAATTACATTAACTTTGAAATAGAAGAGAGCATGGCAGTAAGTTATAGATTAATCGAAAGCATGTGAATTATAGAGTAAGGTAGATACATTTAAATGTTAGTAGTTCACAGATTACGAATTAAGTCAGATAATGCCTAAAAAATATCTTGAATTGTTTGTCACTTCATTGTTTTTCTTCGCTTCACAACACAAAACTTCAGATAGCAATGAGCTATTCATATTTCTTCAAACATGACTGACAGCTGGTTCTGTTAACCTAGATCTTTACTGGTTATTGTTGGCTATTGTGTCCTGTTATCGTTCATATACTTATTTTAATTAAGTTTCTCGTTCACCTGATTTTCAACTTTCTGGAAGTTGTTCATGATCTTTTTACTTGGTTAAAAAATTCGATTAAACTTATATCGACAACATAAGATGTTATTCAACTGTAGGAAGATTTTTATAGCTCACTTTTGTCTGAAGTTTGTGATGATGATGATGATGATTTTGTCTGGAAAGATAATGAAAGCTTCACGATTAAATTATCCGGATCAGAGAACAAAACTCCAATAAGATTACTTTCTATATATACATTATTGAAAAATATTGTTTTAAGGAGGCAGTTTACTGAAAATCATATGATATGTGTGGTGTTTGAATGAACTGATGATTCTTTTGTACTTGTTGAATACTTGATTTCGAATTCTAAGTTATTAACACATAGATATTGATACAAGGAGGCCACACCCCGAGCCTTCGACCTAATGGTCTAACCCACAAGGCAGTGGAGCATCGTAAGGAGATGCAGTCCCATGGAAGCCGGTGACCAACAATTGGTTCATACGCCATTTGTTCCCGCAGGATATTGGAGCCCATGTGCACCACTGGTTTGGAATCCGGTTAAAGCGCCGGATATTCGCTTTTCGTCCTCTCATTTTCGTAAACAATACCCCCACCACGAGAAGTCAGTTTGTCGGACTTCCCTGGCAGAAGCTATATACGCGTGGCCATGTGAGAGCATTTCGAGAGGGAGAGCGGATTCTCCCCACTCTTGGCCGTACCAGGGCATTTGGGGGCAATTCTAAGTGCAGTATATTCGTTTGTGTTTATCTAGTACGTGATTGGATTACGTTATTTCTGGGATTCTTAGTTCATACTATAATTCAAATACTCGTAATTATCACATTGGCGTCGCGATGGAGCTTGTGATGGAATTGTTGGATATACATTCAGATCTTGACGCTTTTAAGTATTACCTTGAAAGGTTCGAAATTTGGGCTATGACAAATGCAGATGATGAGGATGTTAATATTGTAGCACATTTCCTCACATTCATCGGAAAAGAAGCATATAGCTTATTAAAAACTCTGGCTTTACCGGAAAAGCCCATTTCGCTTTCTTATACAACTCTGAAGGATCTACTGCTAGACTATGTTAAGTATACAAATTTCGAATGCGGTAAAGAATGAAAATTTCGTAAAATGATTCGTGAGGATATAAAAAATTCCACTGCGTTACTACGTCATCCCAACCCAGTGCATACTCAAGGTTATGCAGATAATCCATTCAGGAGTTGCGATGCAGTTCACGAACATGTACACAGGTTTGGTCAATGTTTGTCCTGTGGCAAGTTCCACTCTTTTAATTCACGTAAATTTCGTAATTCTAAGTGCTTTAAATGTGGTGATATTGGACATAATCAGTCAATTTGTAATAATAATGTTAATCTTATTGAAACTATTATAAAGTCTTGTAATTTTGATTTTACTAAGTCGAGTATTTATAATGATGATTTATCTTTATCAACGATTGCAATAGACAGTGTAGAGTTACATAGCAGTTCAGTGTTAAATGAAACTCAGAATTCTTGCGAGACAACGGTTTTTAATCAATCGACCTATCAGATTTCTCATGTTATTGTACCAGATATGGTTTTTCCTAATGACACATATTTCTGACGAAATTCCTTGCACATCTGAGGAAAATATGTTTAGTGAACCTACTCATGGTCGAAAACCTGATGCAGTCTTGATAGATACTGATTTTTCTAATGATCCATTACTCTACAATGACATTCTTAATAAATTCGAGGAAACTATTTCAGAAGAGTCAAAGCTTGTTGTTCTATCAAATATTATTTGTCTTCATAATGCATATGTTTCTTGTGGGAAACTTGTTTAATGCGAAGCACAAGTACTAAATGACCTTGATTTCGGTTACAATTCGGATGATTTTACATCAACTGCTGTTTATCCTTATCACAAAAACACTTCTAATGTTTACTGTAATCAATGTGAGAAATATGTTTTAAATGAAACCACACTATTCATAACTTGGAGATATGAAGATCCAACATAAAGTCGCGGGGGAGGATAATATTGGGAAATCTGTGCTTCAAATTCTAGATAGTGGTTTCGGTACACAACAGACACGGCGATTGTACACAATCCCAGGAACCAATTGAATCTGTTCCGATTTCGGTTGTCAATTCCAATACTAATGAGCACATTCTAGATAATACAGAGTTTTTATCCAATACAATGTCGGACAGACACTGGACAAACTAAAGAAGAAGATGTATAATCGATTACAGACACTTAGACTCTAATCTAAGCTGTGGCGGATGTGGTGTTTGAATGAACTGATGATTCTTTTGTACTTGTTGAATGCTTGATTTCGAATTCTAAGTGCAGTACATTCGTTTGTGGTTATCTATTACTTCTTGGCCCGATTACGTTATTTCTGGGATTTCTATTTCATATTATAATTCAAATACATCTAATTATCACAATATGATATTTGTTTTTGAAAGAAAAGAAAAAAAGAAATAAAAATAAAAACTATACAATCGACTAACAGAAAATCTTATACACATAAAAAGTAAAGAATTCAACTTACCAATTTCTTGTAGATTTGGAAGGAATTGAACAGATATCCTATCTTCAATTCCCTGTATGGATATGTTGAGTTTTTTTTCAACAACAAAAAGGCATATAATGAAGAATGTACAATGTTGAATTACATAAACAGATAAGATGATAAATGACTTAAAACTTTATTTTCAAACAGTATCTTATACAAACTTGAACTTTGATTCCATCTCTTTCAATTGGATCATGATCAACATTGTGTTAAGTCATTATTAGCCATTATAAACATGAATATTATTGCACAAAGTGAAGTTATATTATTTAACAAGTGAGCAGTTGTATAAAGAATAAATTTTTATCTTTGAAGATGCAAGAAAGGTTGTCAGTTTGGTTTGATGGAAAATTATAAGAATAGTTCAAACTGTTAAATTGGATGATTTAGTTAAAGTCATATATGATGAACTGATTTCGATTAGACAATTATAGAAAACTAAGAAATACCGGAAAGCTTTTAATTTTTAGTGTGTATCCACGACTACATCAAGTGTTAAACATACCGATCATTCGGTTAGTATTTATTCATTTACATTCTTAACTTCAATCGTTTGATAATGTTGATCAACTATTTTCCAATATGATCAATGTATGGAACATCACATATCGCACATGAATAATTTATTTAAGGAATAGATACGTGAACTCCAGCTGAATAGTCAGTGGTAAGACAGAACTATTGGCTTATTAAACTAAGTATGACATTATATCATAGAAAAATGATAGAGAATAATTGCAGTTCAAATGGATGATTTTACAAAGTGTAGTACTTTTTGAGCTAGATTGATTTAATTGCAAAGTTCTGATTGTAGTGACGTAGTACTCATTCATCAGTACAACATGAAGATAGTATGTAATGTTTGGTTTTCGGGGAAAGTTAATCATTCAAAATGATGTAATAAATCAGACGAAAAAAAACCCAGATCGGTAATCAGTTTATAATTACGACTGTATTTATAATGATTTTTTTCTTCATTAAATTTTGTTGACCATTACCATTAAGTAAAGTATAGATTAGAAAATATTACAATTGAGAGGAAAGAAAGATCAATCAATAGACTATACAGACACTGTTACGTAATAAAGTTGAAAGAAAATATGAATCTGGTATTCACATTACAGGTTGACCTCAGTTGCGATATCATTAAAAGTCAAGCGAAACAACAACACCTCAGGATTGCATACCACATCAAAATTTGACTAGAATGCCTTTGATCATCGTTTATTAACGGTGATGTGAGCGAGATGTTCATCTGCCAAATGAAAAGCAGTTTGTGCAGTAATCTAATGTGTATTACTTTGTATTTGTGAATCATGGCATACGAAGGTAGAAGACATAATTAGGCTGAAAGTATGTGACCATAGGTGTCTTCAAAGAATCACTCGTGCGTTGTCGAACAGATTGAATTCAGGCATAAGTTACAACTTAAATATAGTAAATTGACTAACGAGTCTATGAATCTTCATTAGCAGAGATACCTGGACACGTGTTATATACCCTTAACCACTCTGCGTACTTTGAGAAGCAATGTTGGCTGACATAGGAGTAAGTTTGAAGAAAGTAAGGGACGGTCAGATAAAAGTGTGGCATCAGTTAGTGAAATCATTGCCTACTGAACTAAGCAGTGACGTAAACCCAGATGACCCGGTTACAGACCTTAGGTGACTGGTCATATGCTATCTAAGGACAATATGGTAGATGATAGATAAAAGTTCGGAGTGAGTATTGTAAGTGAATTACTCACCTATCCAATATCACGACCTACATTTTTTTGACTAGATCAACTCACTTTAATACATTATTATTAAGCCTTGGCAGCATAGTTTCTTTTGCACACTTATTTTATCACTATAAATGAGTGATTGACCAAGTGTACATTAGTCACAAAATCAAACTGCTTGGACAGAGAACAATAAAATATCTCAGAATAGGTTTCAATAATGCAGATGCATTCATGCCTTGTCTTATTATCCCATCCATAAATCATGGGCTTTGGTATACATGTATCATCATAATTTTTATTGGCTCAATACAGTGACAACTTGAACCACTTAGCTTCACAATTTTAAGAGTGTAAAAATCATACTGAAACTGTTGTTTGGCAATGAATAAATGATTTATAAAATTTCTGTTTAATTCCAGCGTATTACTAAAATGATACACTCTGTTCACAGAGATTATCAACAATAACCATATGCTTTAAACGTGAAAAAACCAAAAGAAATTAATCTTATTTACCAAACTAACCTCATTTAGAAATTCAATAACAGCTTTCAATATCTTCTTAAGATTACTGACCTTTAGAGAGAGAAAGGATGGAGAAAAATAGAATAATGGGGAATATTTGTAGATAAGGATAAGAATGCTGGAGATGTTGTGTGATCCACCACTCAAAGTTGCATACCAATAATCTCACACATCGGTTTCTTAAGTGCATAGAACTAATGGTGAACGCACCAGTCTCTTCACGAGTGCAGAAGGTTGAATGAATTCAGGTTTAGTTAACCCGCTTAGTGGTAAATATCCTAGGCTGCAGTGTTTACTATTAGTTATATACACTCGAGAAACCAATGTGTGTGATTATTGGTGTACAACATTAAGTGGTGGATCACTGGGCACGTATATTGATGAAGAGTTCAGTCAACTGGGTGAATTGGTGTGCACTGCATGTTGCTTGAACATTTGGATCTTGAATGCACATTGAGACTGCACAATATACTGAGGCCGCGCTTGGCTGAGAGCTGACTTTTTATCTATCACAAGATACATCAAGTTTTGGGTCGAGAAAGTGTCTGTTGGCCTATATAGCCGCAAATCAACTGCAGTTGTTGGTCAAAGACTCAATCCCAATAGTTCGACCACAGTCCAATCCGGTCTAAATAACCGGTTTGAGACGTTGCGATGGGTTGTGTTGTTGTCGCGGCTAACACAACTGAACCATCAAGCCCAGAGAAC